GAACTACTGTAAGCAGTTCCTTCCTATAATACTGGATGTAATTCAATATTAATTCTGTTGCCTGCGTTTTGCTGATCTCATTTTTTCAAATCGTGATTCCATCTCTTCTAGGACTTTAGGTGTATAGCGTACAACCAGCTTAACTTTTCCTTGAGCTGCTTTTAGCAGTTCTACAGCCTTTTCATGGTGCTCCCCTTCAACACTCTGAAAAAAAAAATTACATATAGATGTTACACATTCCATTAGTATGTATTCAACAAGTACTCTAATATTCTAGGACCAGTTGTTTATAAGATTTATGTTTCCTTTATCATACATTGTCTGTTCTAAACCGCTCCAAATTAAAACAGTATTTCTCAAACTATGAGTCCTGAAGTTATTAAGTAGGCCACATAATGCTTTCACCATCACCATTGCCCATGTGATTGTTTAGTTTCCTTAGAAGCACACCATTACTATTCCCTTTAAAAGATAAGCATGTGCCTATCTTTCTTCCCAATATGTCATTTTTCAAATTCTATTCAAGTACCCATGTTATTACTGAAAATGAAAGTTATTAATTATAATTACGAAACAATGAATATGAATATACTCACTCTTAACTACTATTATATCACCGAAAAAGAAACAACTTAAAACTTAGTGTTAATTTACAAGTAGAATCAGAAAAGTAAATTTTACAAAAATTCAAAGTAAAATATATCTATGTGAAGCTAAACCTCTATAAAGAAAAAAGCTGAGTTCTGGATTTAGAAACATAGATAACATAGTGAAAGACAATCTCTCAATTTAGTCTACCTTTATGAAACAGATAACCTAAATGAGCTTTCTACAGTTGCATGCAAAAGTTTAGGCCTGACCAAATTGAACATTTCAATAAATCCCTAAATAACAGAAGCAGAAACAATCTCTGCATGGTACAAAATAAAACACATCTTTAAGTTTGAATGCATGCTTACTATTTATGTGCAGTTGTCTATAGATTCAAAGTAAGAAAACAGTTATATAGCAGATGTAGAAGTTTGAACACCCTTTCAATTGTTTCAGTTATACCTTTTTTTTAAAAAAAAAGAAAGAAAAATTGTTAATGCCTTAAAAAGTTATTGATTTATTAAGCCTGTAATAACCAGGTGAAAGTAATTCCACAGATAAGCAAATATACTTCTAACCTTTCAGGTTCGGATTGTTCTGTCTGCTTTCAAAACCATATGCTCTTCTAAGCATCTGTCTGAATATCTGAATATACAGATCACTCTTGCAATCATCAAACCCAGGAATAGTTCTATTCTGCTTTGGGGCTATGCGGCAGCCAGTAACATAGAAAATATTGTGCAGGTAGAAGGAAGAATGGATTTAACTATATTAACAACCCAACCCTGCTGGCCTTTCACCAGGCATTAAAAACATGGTTTTGCCATTAAGCCTAATGACTTGATAGTAGGGGTGAGCCCACTTTTTGGTTATATTGATTGTGAGGCATTGTGATTATTGGCTGCTATTTTATGCTGTGTTATGTTATTTATGTTTTTAATTATTGGTTGTGTTTTTATTCTGTTTTTATTTTGTTTTAATTGTTAGCTCCCCAGACTCATGTATATTCTAGTAGCATGCCTAGTAGCATGCCCGTGCAGTCAGTGAAGAAATTCAAGCTTTGGATATTTCAGCAAGACAACAATGTGAAACATATCTCCAAATCAGATGTGAAGTTGATATTCTGAGTTCTGCAAGGAAGAGTGAAAAAAAATATCCAAAAGCAAAAGTAGAAAGACTCATAGATGGTTACTCTAAATATTTGAAAGCTATTATTTCTGCAAATGGAGAGGTTACAAAGTATTGACTGAAAGTGTGTCCAGAGTTCTGCACCTGCCATATTCACATATTTCTTATTTTGAGTTTGTAAACACTCGGACATAAATTGTTATGTATGCATTCACATCTACAGTCATATCATGCCTATCACTGTACCATGCAGAAGTTTTGTCAAATTTTGTTCACTTAGGGATTTATTGAAAGTTACAATCTGACCAGAGGTGCCTACACCTTTGCATGTGCTGTGTACAGTAAAAACTATTTAAAATGCAAGGTGATTCTCTACAGTCCTAAAGATGGTTAATCTACTTCCCCACAATATTTCATAATTTCCCTGCTTCATCAATATATAAGCAGCTTGTCTGTTAAAGACAAATTACAAAAGGGACCAGAACAGAAAAGTGATGGTAAGAGTCAGTGCTAGTCAGCTGAATATCAGTATGAAGGCCTGGATTTGGTTAGCTAAAATAGATCAAGTTGAAATATGGATATCAATAATGTAATATTATTTCAGCTCAGTATTCTGATTTAATTGTGCAGAGAACAGTTAGGGAAATCAGGGTTTTTTTCTGATTTATATTGCTTTTTGCTGTTTATATAAATCTGTTCCGTTTCCACATTTTTTAAAAAAGAGAAAATGTAAAGGCTTGCATTTAAGCACAGCATTTAAATATTACTACATATATATATATGTTATCTCAAAATAATATTCTAACATGCATTTTGATATATGGCATCAGTAAATGAATTGGGAAGTATGGAAGCATATGGATAACTAACCTGCAATTCACACATTAATTTAACTTGTACCTAGATCTACATGACAATCAAATTTGTAATCAAAGACTGAACTTTTAAAGCATGCCTAACTCAAATCCATTTTATCTACAAAAAAGTTTGTGAGGTAAATTAGATTAAAAGAAAATACTGAATCCCAATGGTAAAAAAACAATATAAATATCTTAGGCAAGCCAAGCGTTTCAGTTCTTTCATTTCAAGTGTAATGATAGTCTTGTTAATGTTATTCTAACAAAGCCACAGTTATTGTTTTAAGTATGTATCCATTGTCTTATTTTTAAGTTTGAATGTTACCTCATGAAATGTCAGTTTTGAACTAATGAATTTATAAAAATTCTGAAATATACTCTACTTCCCCTTGTGCATTTAAATTGCAAAATACAACCAGTGTCAAATAATTCATATCCTCTTAATGCCCTCAAGCGGTCACACTTAGCTACTACAAGTGGAAATTGAATTCCATCCCTACCACTCCGTTTACAGAAAGAAGTTGGTCTCCACGCTTCAATCCCCCGTGTCTATCAGCAATACCACCTGGGATAATTCGGGATATATAGATTGGAGAATTTTGCTCCTTGCCACCCATGATGTTGAATCCAAGCCCTTCTTCTGTTTTTGGAAGTTCGACAACTCTGGGATGTGAATGACCTTCACTGGCGGCAAAAGCAGCAACAGTAGCCTATAAAATCCAGAAAGCTCAAGTTTACCTTGCAGTTTATAACATATATCCATTCTAGCATTAAGAATTTCAATGCATCTTGAAACTGAAATTGATCAAAATGAATTAATGTGCTCAAGTCTCAGGACTGCATTCTGAGGAGACTACAAAACAGTGGTACACAATAGCATGCCCAGAAACTTGTCAAATGATTCACTTACATATTTTGCTAAAATGCATACACTCTGTTCACATGCATTGTTTTTAAATAAAAAGCTATAGTTTATTACACGAGCATGTTCTTTATAGCAAATACAAAATATTTTTAATTACTCTTGAACAAAGTACAAGATGTTTAATAAGAAGCAGGCACAAGTAGCATTACAAAACAAATGTTCCAAAGGCAGACAGCATCTTTCATTCTACTCTGCACTTCAGGATAGAGAAATCAAATTCCTGATACAAGTAGTCCTTGCTTACCAACTGCCTCATTCAGTGACCGTTCAAAGTCACAACGGTGCTGAAAAAATAACTTTACATCCAATGCCCACATTTACAACCTTCATGGTGTCCCTCAGTCACATGATTGCCATTATAGTCAGTATGCAATGTCCTGTGCCTGACCTGTTGTTTTTCTTTTTTCCCCCTTTGCAGAGCAGAGATTGGGGAGAAAGGGGTTACAAGAGAGTAAGGAGGCACACAATGGGGAATACACATTGAAAGCAATGTGCCGGTGCCAGCAGCCGCAAGCATGCTGCGCAAACAGCCTGGTATATTCCCTATTGTGTGCCTGCTTACTTTTGTAATCCCTTCCTGTCCAGTATCTCTGCTCGGGGGTGGGGGGGAACCAAGTGATTTCTGTAGGCAACTTCCTCTCCAATGAATGTAAATACAAACATTAATTCCCTTCTTGTTAATTATCGAGCACCAGGGTGAGCATTTCAAAGAGCGGATGTGTGGTTAGA